TTACTAGAGGCTGAAGAGGGTGGGGTGATATGGGGCTTAGAGAGAAGCTCCAAGGGTTAAAAGTTACAGTCCGATGGGAGGAATAAGTTCTGATGCTCTACTGCACAATAGGATGACGATAGTCAATAATAATGTATTACATATTTCAAAATGGCTAGATGGGATTTTGAATGTCTCACCACAAAGAAATGATAAATATTTGAGGCTATGGATATGTTTAATTACCTTGATTTGATTGTAATACAACATACACATGTATGGAAACATTATATCCTATAAATTTATAAATCATTTCAATTAAAAATAAAACTGAATTGGGAATAAAGCTCAGTGGTAGAGCACTTGTCTATATGTGAGTCCTAACACACACACACACACACACACACACACACACACACACACACAGAAAATTAAAAAGGATAACTGCATGGTTGTCAATTTTGTAGTCTAGGTTACTCTCCCCCCTTAACATCATTCGTTTAATAATTATTTGTTCTTCAAGGATGAGTAAAGCACTGTACTAAGCATTAGGGATACATATGTTACTAAGATAGTTAGATAAGGGGAGTAAGTTCTGATGGTCTTCTCAAGGAGCAAGAATACAGAAGCCTGAACATAATTCCATGTGATACAAAAACACTATACTAAGCTGGGCGGCAGTGGCTCATGCCTGTAATTCCAGCTATCCAGGAGGCAGAGATCAAGAGGATCATGGTTCAAAGCCAGTCCAGGCAAATAGTTCATGAGACCCTATCTCGAAAAAAACCTTCACAAAAAAGGGCTGGTATAGTGGCTCAAAGCATAGGCCCTGAGTTCAAAACCCAGTACAACAAGAAAAAAAAAATCCCTCTACACTAAAACTGCCATGGGAGCATTAGCACCTGATTTAGCCAGAGAGCTTCGGGAAAACTATTAACCCAATAAACAATAGCATTAAAATTCTGAAAACGAGGTTATTTTGGATAAAGTCTAAAAATCAAAAAGGTGATCCTGAAATTTATCACAGCAAGGCCTATATAAACTTTGCTCAGAAATTATCATTCCAATCTAATCATATTAGGAGGCTGGAGCCAGGCACCAGTATTTGTAAAACTCCTCAGGTGATAAAATGTACTGCCATGGTTGACAACCATTGGCTTATTGCTTAAGTCACAGCAGTGTGATTAATTTAAACTAGAGAGCCTATCAGCAGGACTCTGAAGACATACTCCTAGGCTGGATTAGTGGACATTCAGGCCCAATGGGGATGCACTGGCTGAAACCATGTTCCTTGTATTTTTACTTACAACCTATTTCTTGTACATGCTAATAATATGAAAGATAAGACTTCAGGTTCACTATCTTATGATACTTCTGGCATAAGCCAAGAAAAATGAAGTGGCAGCAACTCCTCAACCCTGTGTTGTCTACACTTGTTTGATTGTTGAAACTTTACTTTTTAAACCTAGGTCAACTAAAAACACTGCTGAAATGATAAACTTTTGGTTTATGGAGACTAGGGTCAATTTCACCATTTATTCTTAAGAAAAACACCTACATACAAGAGTTTAAAGAACAACAAAACTACCATAAAAATGTTCCATCCTGTGAAATAGACTAAGTTCTACAGAAATAAAGGGGAAGTAGAAAGAACAGAAGTGAGTTGTCGTGGGTGGGGCAGATTCTCACAAAGGAAGAAGACTTATGTGGGACTGGCAGGCTTGGATTACAAAAGTAGAGAAAGGTACTGTAGCAGTCTTAGAGGAAGTCTTGAAAGCTGGAGAATTTATGATACCTTGGGAAAGCACTAAAGTGACACCAGAACTTCCTAAAAGGTGATACACCGGACAAAAAGAGTGGAGCCAAACAATGGAAGGCCTTGCTTTACAGACCGAGGAGTTTGAACTTAATCTTAGTGAAAAACAGGGCTATGCTTTGCTTGGCTTAACATAAAAACTGCTTTTAGAAGATTCTTCTGGTAGGTAAACATGCTGCTGGTTGCACTGAAGTTCATGGGACTGGGACTGCTGAAGAGTAAGAGAACATGCTAGATCTTCCAAGAACATCTTTGAAAACAGAGGCATTTAAAAATTATGAAGATTTAAAAAAATCAATATTGTAAAATACTGATTGTACCAATATACACTTTAGTATCAATTCAAAATAAGTGCCATTTTTTTGGGGGGGGGGGAAGAGCAGGCAGGAGCTCACTATGCAGCCCAGGCTGGCCTCAAACTCCTATCTTGGTCTCCTGAGTGGTGGGGTTACAAGTGTACACCACTACAACCAGCATCAAATTAATTTTATGTTATTTATGAAAAAAGTTTTGCTAGCTCTTAAATATTAATATTTTAATATTGCACAGTAGGATGCATAAGATAACGTTCTGCATATTCCATAAAGCTAGAAAGTTTTATATGTTTTCACCATAAAGAAACCATTACAATTTTCATGTTTATATGTATTGGCTAAAAAACTAAATTTCAATTTAGAAAATGTGTTTTAAGTATTACTGCAAAGTTCATAATAGGAAAAAAAAATAACATATCCAGGAGATTAAATCTACTCTTATGCTAGTTTTACAAAGGGAAGCAACATTCAAACAATTTTTGTCCTGACGGAAGTACTTATACAGCTTAAATCTAATGAAGATAAACAGAAGTAATAGTTAGGAGCTGTGGATATATTCAGTGGTATTGTATCTGGCTGTATGTATAAGGCCCTAGGTTCTATCCTCAGCACTGAAAGTAAATAAATTTGTCAAGATAATATTTTAGTATTCTTCTTCCTCAAAATGAGTATTACGCCAAAATGGATGTACTAGAGCCTTTTAAAGTCTTTATTTGGCATAAAAGAAGACTTCTGGAGGTTCTGGAAGTATGATTATCCTTAGGCTCCCTAAACTTGGGGTAAAGCAGAGCAATAATACTAAAAACTAGGGTTGGGCATGGTGGCACAAACCTATACAGCAGGCATAGGTAGGAGGACAGATATCCAAGGCAGGCCCTAGGTAAAAAATGCAAGATCCTATCAAAAAATAACTAAAGCAAAAAAGGCATGGGAGTGTTGTTCCAGTGGGTAGAGCATCTGACTAGCAAGCATGTGGCCCATGCCTATAATCCCAGCTAGTAGAAGGCGGAGATCCAGAGGATCTGGGTCAGAGAGGCCAGTTAAAGTTCACAAGACCCCATATCAACCAATAAAAGGTAAGCATGGAAGATGAGCCTGCCATCCCAGCCATGCGGAAAGCATAAATAGGAGGATCAAGGTCCAGGTTGGCACAGGTATAAATGCAAGATCCTATCCCAAAAATAATGAAAGCAAAAAGAACTCTCATGGCTCAAGTAGTAGAGTACCTGCCTAGTAAGCACAAGGCCCTAGTTCAAACCCCAATAACGCAAAAAAAAAAGAAAATCCTAAAACAATAGGTTTTTATTACACACTTTGTCACTGAAAATATGACTTCCCATTATAATTATTAGTAACTACAATTAAGGAAACAAAGCTGAGCACAGGCATGATGGCACACGCTTATAACGCCAGTACTCAGGAGGTCGAGACAAAAGGATCCTGAGTCCAGGCCAGCCTGGGCTACATAGTGAGACCATGTCTCAAAAATAAAAATAGAAATTAAAAAAGAAACATTAGAATTTAGAAAAAATAAATCAGATAACATCAACAAAAAAATGCAAGAAGCTGAAACATGTTTCACATATTTACTCCCACGTTTTTATTTAAGAATTCATTAGTATAAGTACATTTATAGTATGAAAAAGTATGCTATCCAGATTAATACTGTAGCATGTTTTTCAATTTAAACATAAAAAACATTTTGCAATAATTAAGTTCATATTGAGTACTATTTATACTTCTTTCTTAAAAGAAATATAATCCCGTATCTCTCATTTAAACCAGGTTATTATATGTACTAAAAATATTCAGACATCTTTTTTTTGTGGTGGTACCGGGGGATGAATTCAGGGCCTCATGCTTGATAGGCAGGAGCTCTACCACAAGATATGCCCCCAGCTACACATATCTTATATACTTACCTTTGCTTAAGACTTTTTATTACGTCACTAACCAACATGAACATTCTATATGCAATAAGTGGCCTCACTTATTGAGTCTGGAGAAACTTTAGTGTTTAACATAGTTAAGAGCTTATATTTGTAAATACGCCTTACTGTAAAAAATTCATCAGTAAGCAAACTGAGCAAAAATTTAATAGAGAACAAGTGCTTAACACTACAAATCCTGTAAAAAAAATATATATATATCATATTGGAAACAACTCCTAAGGGGGTTATCTGCCTCAACCTTGTATTAAGAATGAAACTAATATTCAAATTAATCTTTTATTTTTAATTTCATCCATCTGACACTAAGTTATCCGAACCTTACAAGTCTATTTTTCCTGTGGTGCAATAAGTAGTTCTTTTCTTTAAAATCAATGAAATTTTTAAATAATATGAAATCAACCACATGAAATTCCAGAATTTGTTTATAATTCTCTTAATGAAAATATAAGGGTTTGGGCTGTAGAAATGTCTCAGTAGGTAGAGTGCTTGCCTAGAATGCTTAAGCCCCTGGGTTTGATCCCAGCAACATACACACACACACAGTGATTCAACATGAGATATTTCTCCAATATTAGATAATGCTGATAACGTCAACTATTATAACTGACCTACATGGAATTCTGTTCAACATGGTAACAACGTCAAGCAAGCCATTGTATGGATTTATGTGACAGCACATAAACTGCAACAGTATTTTTTTGAAAAAAACACACACTTTTAGAAGCAGAAGAACACAAGAAAACAAAACCCTGTATCCAAAATCTGCACCTCCCTGCATCCCTCCAACAAAAAAAATTGTAATAAAGTTTACAGAAAAATAAGGTTTGATTAAAAGGAAATAAAGCATAATCTGGCAGATGAAATTCATTGAAAGGGTTGTCAGTGAAAGAACTATTGTAAAACAGAACCTCTGACCATGTAGGCTGTAAGATGACTTACAGAGCACAGCCACAGCCCCAGACTCGAACATGAGACATTCTTCCTTGTGCCTAGTTTCCACTATGAGGCTGAAAGGTGGGGGATCCAATTTGTGATAGATCCGAAATCCTTTGCTGAACGCCATTCTCCTTTCTTCAGAAGCAGCCCTGCGAAAAGCAAGCAAAGCAAATGAAGCTGAGGCTTCCTTCTGCTGCAAGGACTGCAAGGCATCCAGAAGTCCCTCCCTGACAGGTTTTGACGGGAGTGGGGGGTGGGGAGGAGCGGGGGGGTGCGGGGAAGGGGGTGGGGAACTCAGGGTGAATGGTTTATTCCAAAAGATAAGTCGTCACTAAATTTTACCAAAATCCAAAAGGAAAAGCTACCAATTTTAGGGCAAGGCAAGACTAGGATTTAGCACTGTTAAATCCAGGTTTGGTGAAGATGAATTTCCCATTTATGTGTTACCGAAAGGAAAAACAAAATTGAGCGTATCTACGGGGCTGTTTATCAGCTTCCTGCTTCAAGATTTGTCACTAAGCTGAAAGGGAAGTGATTGGGAAACTTCAGGCTGATCCTTGGAGGGAAAGGAGGGGAAGTGGGTGGAAAGGTTAACAAGGTTGGTTCAAAGCTCCTTAGGGGGCCGGAGGAGGGAACAGGATTATCCGACACCGCAGGCTTCCCCAGGGCGGCAGCGAGGGGTAAGGGAAGCAACACAGGCCACCGCGGGGACTGCAGTGGAGCCCAACCATAAGAATGGACACCCAGGGAGTCACGACTCGGGGCACGGACCCACGGGGTTCCTGGAGGTCCTGGGCAGTCGACTGCCGGAGCAATCGGCTCCTATACACGCGGATGGAGGCGCGGAGCACCCAACGTCTTCATTATGAGCCAGATGGATGCCCCGGAGCCCAGACTGATTCGGTGCCTTTCCCGCCGGCAGGCTGACAGCCGCTGTCACCAAAGCCCCCGGCCCGACGCGACGCAACGCAACCCCGCGGTCCTCTCACTACCCCATCCGCTTTTCCGGCCCCAGGCTGCCCGCAGCCGCCCCTCACCGCTTCCACGGAGGCTGCGGCAGCGGAGACTGCCTGGGGAAGCGTCCGCAACCCGCCCGGCCGCCGGTGGGTCTGGCCGCAGCCGCTCCCCGCCCCTCGCCGACTAGCTTACCTCTTCCTCCGGCTCCTCCTCCTCCTTCTCCCGCAGCCGCCGCCGCCACAGTCGCCAGCTGCGTCACTTCCGCTCCAGCAGACCCATCTCTTCCGCATTGCGCTGAGGCCGGGGGCGGAAGGACCGCCCCTGGTGGGGAAGGGGCGGGGCTTCAGGAGGAACCACGCCCCCGCCAGGCTTCCCGCCCCACCCCGGCCGGGCACTAGCCGGCTACGGCCGCCTCCACCTGCAGCGACCTTCTTTCGGGTGGCAAGTTCCCCAGTCCGCAGCCGCAAGGTCTCACCGCTGGGGATGCCGGGAGAGGAGGATACGACCTCCTAGGCCCCTCGCGTGGGTTCTTCAGAGCTCAACAGCCCTCCTCTCGGGCTCCAGGGAGGGACTCCCGGTAGAGATCTGGGGGCTGGGTATTGTTACGTGCCCAATTTGGGCGGGAGGACCACCTCCTGCCGCCTCCACCGCCAGACGGGCGGGGGGGAGGGCTCGGCAAAGTCAGCACGCCGCGCCAACCAGGTGGCGCCCGGAGAGCTGTCCATGGTGCCTCCTAGCGAGCAGCACCGAGTTGTTATTGTAAGCGCCCTAGGAAGGAAAACTAAGGCCTACTCTGGAGATACTCTGGTTCGCTACCTGTTTTTGTGTTTTCTTTCGCTGTCAGGAGTACTGTGAAAGAGTGCTCAACTGTATATACCATCAAAAGTGAGACCACCAACCAGGAGCTCAGAACATGGCTGTACTGAGGCCAAGGCCACTACAGCTGTCAACCAATGAGGAACAGCATTTGCTAGGCATGGAATTTTGTAGCTAAACCATCATACCCTTGCATCTCATCCTCATGCATCAACAAATCATTCCTGGGTATGATTTGTGTCTCACTGGCCTATCCTGTTTCGATTTAATAGACTTAAAATAAGAAAAGGAAGTTGAACCCAACAGGGCAGGAAGGAACTGAAAACGTGAAGAACCCAGCACTGAGATAGTGTTTCCACGTCCCTTTGATTTTTCTTTTCTTCTTCCCCTTCTTGCTGTTATTTTGTCAGCAAAAACAGAATTTAACTTCGGTATGTTGCATAAAACCATTTCCCCCTCCAGGCTCTATCATGAGACTTAACATTTCTCCTTTTGGAGAGGATAGACCCACCCGGGCTTCAGGATGCTAAAATACATTAGAAAAGAAGTCTCTGACACTTGGATTTAGTTCGGAGAACTACAGATTTCTCTTTTAGTAATCTTTAAAAAAACAGAAAACTAGTGCTTTATTAAACTAATAATTACAATAGTCTACTGGACTCTGGTTATTCATTTTCCTTCCCTTAAGAGTCATTTCCAATTGGGAACTAAAAGGGGGTGAGAATGTATTTGCCTTTTCAAGCACAATGCCTCTATAACGCTGATACATCAAAAAAAAAGGATAAGGCTTCAGAAGACATGTTAGTGCATTGCACTGCCTGGGAAGTACCTTTTATGACAACTGAATTCACAGTGCCAAGTGGAGTTGAGATCTGAATCCAAACTTGCTTATTCCAAAATCAAAGGCTTTCCACCATGCTACACTAGAAACCCCTCTTTCTCCGAGTGGGAAAATCATAGGCTCTTTTGAAGCAAGTGTTCTGCCTATTCCTGGTTCACTGTGACTTTGTATTAAGGGAGGGTGAGGTCAAAACTTCTGGGTTGGAATTAGTGCTTCTTTCCCCAATTTAAACTGAAGGGCAGCAGGACTCATTCTTAGAGATGTTAGGTCAGCTTTTCCAAAATACTTTCAAGACAGATAATTTTAGTCATGAAATAAACATGTCTGGGGTTTGAAAAACATAAAAGGCAACTATATGTTTCTTCTTTTTCTTGTCTCTTTCCTATACATTTTGTTGTAATTGCTGCAGCATTTGAAAACAGCTGCACAAATTGATCAACATGAAGTGTCTTTAGGGTGGGTTGAATTAAAATACAAGTTAAGTGGCATACACAGACTTCCTAGTGAGATCCTAAAGGAATGCAGAAAGAAGCCAACACTCTCTTGACCTTGAAACTGAGTAACTCTTTCTATGTACAATTACCTTCTCGCCAAAAACGATATTCACATCTTATTGCTTCAAGCCTGTGATTTAGGTAGAAGAAAGTCTTTACAGAAATGATTGGGTTAAGGATCTTGAGATTACTTTATTTACTTTTTTGGCAGTACTGCGGTTTGAACTGAGGGCTCACGCTTGGATCCTAAATGCAATCACAAGTATTCTGATAAAAAGAAAGAAATAGGGAAATGAGACACTCAGAGAGGAACAATGTGAAGACACGTGCAGAAATAAGCCAAGGAATACCAGCAGCCATCAGAAGCTGGAAGAGGTGGTGAAGGATTTAATTCTGCTGACACAGGATTTCCAACTTCTGGCCTCTACAACTCTGTGACAGAATAAATTTCTGTTTTAAGCCACCAAACCAACTTAAGCTACTACGCTACAGCAAATGAGAATCCCCTTCATAAGAAGTAGCGTCCTTTAGTAACTTTACGATTAAAACTTTCTGGTTGAGATATGAATACCACTTGTTTTATATACAGTTCTATGCCAAATTCGCCTTGCAGCAGAGTTCAAAGCTATTCCTTAAACCCCAGGAGCCTGTCAGATTTCATAGGATAAAAACAAGTCTTAAAGAGTTTACTGTAAGAGTTTTTAAAACCAGATATAGAAAAGAGCAATCATTTAATGGGTTTGGAAACACTAGTTTAAGGTCCATATACATATGCATGTTATTTTCTTCCACTGAAGTTGAGAGCATTCTGACTTTAATTCTATGTAGAAAACTAAGATAGAACAAAAAAAAAGTCATAAGCAGTGTAACTAGGGTAAAAATCAAATTGACAGAGCAAACAAAGCATACACTGTTCTAAATATTATTTAGAAACAGGTAAATGCTATTTGCCTTGATCAAGGATACATATGAAACAGTAGTCTCACTATATTAGCATCATTTGAAATGCTCTAAAATTAGTCACCAGCAAAATACAACAGAGAATATATTTAAAAATTAATTTAATGCTTAGCTAAAGCTTAATTACATATATAATTATCAAACAATAGTCATTAATTTCCAAAAAGTTCCTCTTCTGAAAATCACAGAATCAGAAAGCATAAACTTTAAAACAAGTTCTCTGAATTTTACAATGTGATATAAACATTATAGAAGACCATGGGTATTAAACTGCCTGGGTGTGGCTTAGTCAGCAAGGCGTATTCTTTATTGCATATATAACTCACATACGTGGGATTTTAAATATAATGATAAGACTACTAAAATTCAAATGCATGTATGTGTAATCTGGGCAGGGAGTAAAAAAATAAATGAGACAAGACAGTTTAAACCATGCAGTTAGGTTATGGGCTTATTAAACTTCTATGCTCCATCTGACACTACCTTGCATATATTATTTAGCGTTCACGTTAAACCAACATTTGTCTGTGATGCTGATTCAAGGAGAAAAGGTCAACATTCACTCAATGATGTCCAAAACTCAACTCTCATTTTAAGGCAGCACAGCTACAGTGACAGCAACACTAACCAAAGGGGGATAAACATTTATTTAGTCTCTTACCAGCCCTTTTGTTGCAACAATGTAGTAATTTCCCTAAGACAATTTGCTACTGGATAATTTTCTGTTAAAAGGATTCCTCTGTAGAAAAACACCGCAAATTTCCAGTGTGAAGGTCCATGGTGATATAAATATATATATATATATGCATAATTACATAATTTACACTGCACACATTGTTTGTTGAGGACAGTTAAATGAGAGGGCTAATTTGAATGACCATATAAAATACTTCTGTAAACAAAGTATGACAGGCAGTAAGGAAACCATGAATAGACTTGTAGAAATAATCTGAATTCCTTTCATTCTGAAGAAATCGTATTTAAGGACACAGCATTGAATATAATATTTTTTGTATTAAAACAAGAAACCGTACTTTACAGTTTAAGAAACTTTACATATATACAAAATTTATACACTGGGAATGGTATTAAAGCAAATAGGCTTTCCAGTCTCATAGATCTATTTTCCTTCAATCAAAGACTTAAATTCTTTTACATTATGGTCACTTGCAACAGACATAGCATGATCCAAGGCTCGAACACTTGCTAGAAGTTTTACAATCTGTTTTATGTTTTCCCTAAAAGAGAAAAAATTGTAGTAATATCTCAGTACATTTGAAAGGAAATTTGTTTTTTAGGACCATTCTAGAGATTATCCAAATCAAAGATATGCAAGTTATAGCATGTAAAAAAAATTCTGATTATTTGTTCGTATAAAATGAAACTTGTAAATGTTTTAAATAACTGGCCAAAGACAAGGAACCCATTTTTAAAACAGAAACAAAACAATTTCATTTGGATCAACGATTTTCATCAATAACTAGAAAGAAAAGAAAGCAATCTGTTCCAAACTCTGGTAGAGCCCTGTGCCCCTTTCCTTTTGAAACCAGAGTCCCAGCTCTTTTCAAGTATATCAGTAGCACAAAATTGTCTGTCTTCGTCATCAATCAATCAAGATCCTGCCCAATTTCTATTCCTCCGAAGTTCACTTTCAACTAAAGCGTAACCTTGCTTGCTTTATCTTCCCAGCTAGAATTCATCTACCTACCTTATGATGAGAGAGAAACCCTCAAATTTTGGCAACATGGGAATTATGTAAAAGGTTGGTAAACACAGATCATCCAGCCTCGCTCCAGAGCTCTGCTCAGTAAGTGGAACCTGAGAATCTGCATTTCTAACAAGCTCCTAGGTGGTGCTGATGCTGCAGGTCCAGGAAGCACACTTATAGAATAACTGTTTCAACATTTAGTTTGAACCTCTTGTGAGAAACAACAGACAGTGTGGTGTCATTGTTTCATGTCCTCTATAAAAACTGAGTAATAAGCATCTTTCAGGGAAGGATTATGACCCATAAAACTCTGCAATCCATATGGAACCTACATTATGTGCATTGCACAGAGCAGGTGCTTAAATAACTGTTGAAGTTCTTTTCTACAGAAAACCAAATACCACTTATTTATAATTAGCTCCTAAACAAAAACACTACTAAGTATATGTAAA